CGACGCCGCGCCGGCGTCGCCAGCGGCTGCTGGTCGGCGCCGCCGCCGGAGAAGCTGGGCGCGCGCCGTCCCAGCGCGATCCAGCAGCGGCACCGCGGTGCCACGCGCGCACTGAATCTGATCTCGCGCGGGCGCACCCATTGGGAAGGCGCGCCGCTTGGCAGCGTGACATGCCAGGGCGAACGCCTGGCGACCCCCCAACCACGCCCGAAACGCCGGAGCTGGCCCGCCGCGCGCGCGAGCTGCCGGGCGCTCGCGGCGGCAAAAGTTGCGACGGATTGCCAGCTCCAGGTTGCGAAAGATCTCGAACCAGGTAAGGAGGTTGTCGATGCGCCCTTGCGGCAGTCGGCTGAAGTTCATCAGCGCTGACGCTGCCGAAGCGCGCCCCCCCTTGCCCAGTTGGCCCCGCCGCGCAGCCAAACTGCGCATGGGGGAGTCATGGGCGGCTCCAGGCTGCCGTTGATGAGCCCACCTGGAAAAGGACAGTCGGCGGCCATTCGCCCGCGCACTCGCCCGCCATGCCGGCGAGAGGCGACGAGGCGCAGGCCGCCCAGCGGAACTCGTTGAGGTCCACATTCGCTACAGACCAGGTCATCACCTCGCCCACCCACCCCTGGATGTGCACTCGAGTTTGCCGCCAGAGCCCCCAGGCGCGGAGGTGTCGCGCGCTACCGCCACCGCCTTTGACGCTCACGCAAGCGACGCAGCTGGCGATGGCAACTGCGCCCCCTCCGACGGCCTCCCATCCGGGGTTCATATCCCTCCATGTGTCGCGGAAGCGGTGGCGGCCGAGGATCCACCGGCGGCGCTGCTTGGGCAGCGTGCCTCGGGGCGGCCGTGGCTATTTGCCACGGACGTATTCCCCCTCGCATGCGCAGTGGGCGTCTGCTTCTGTCACGCGGCTGCAGTGCTCTCGATGCATCCCGTGGCACAATCAGGGGGGTGCTCCTCATACGTCGCGTCGTCATTGTTCTGAGCACCGCCAACTGCGCGATCGCCAACAGGAGTGTGCATCGGAACCCAGTCCTGACAGGCTGTTGGGCATGCGCGGGCTGCTGGGCATGCGCGGGCGAAGCGAAAGGCCATGTGCCAAGAGATCGAAGACGGTCTGGGGCGCAGGAGAGCTGGTGACTTGGGTGCTGATTGCACTGAAAACTGGTCCTCCCAGATCCGACCCACTGTTCTTCGGAGCGCTGGCGACGCAGTCCCCAATATGTCCCATTGCCTCCCCGCTTCTCCCCGCCTGCCCCCCCCCGAGGCTCTAGTGACACAGTCGAACAGCTGTCTGACTTTTGCGACCACGCCCACATGCGGGCGCAGTGCCGGCGTTGGGTCCGCGATCCGCGCTGACACACTCAGCGCAAGCCCGGGGAGGATCGCTGAGATCTGGCGAACCACGGGGTCCGCGGTCGTCGGCAGCGCGGCCGGGGTCCTTGCAGGTCTCGTTCATGTAGTGGTTGAGGTAGATGTGCGTCCTGCCGCTTACCTGTCCTGGCGGATGGGCTGCTGCCCCGACGGACTCCCGAGTCATGTTTCCCGCCGTGGTGAACGGGACTATGTGCACGAAAGCGAAACTACGAGCGGATATCTACACACATATATATACACATATATATATATAACGGTGGAAGGATGGATATATGGCTGTCGAAACCCAGCGAGATATGGTGAAACCGTGGCAACGGAACATGATGCTCCGCTACCAACTAGAAAATGAGTGTGAAGAATAATGCAGTAAGGCGAAGCTTTCTGTATAGCGGAATAAGTGTGTCTAAGGGTTTGTCTAAGAACAGGCGCGATGCACAGTACTGGCTGTAAGCGGCAGCGGGTAGCACAGGCAGGAGGTGGGGTGAGACAGGCAGGGCGGGAAGACACACCGTTCGACTAGAGGGGGAGGAGGAGAAGGAAGTGGAGGGGGAGCTGAAGAGGAAAAAGAGGAGGAAGAGGAAAGACAAGGATGAGGAGGAAGAGGACGATGAGGCAGGTAACGGGACTTAAACGCCCTGACAGGGGGAGCGCACTGCCGCCAGACCGCCTGCCAAAGGAGGGCGGGGGGGGGAAACAATCTACGTATTTGGAGACGACGACGACGACGCCGCCGCCGACGTCGACGACGAGGACGAGGAGGGAGGAGGAGGACGACGACGACGAAGAGGACGAGGAAGAGGACGAAAAGGAGCATGGGCTGCTTGCGCGCTGTGGAAAAAAACGACGTGTGCGAGTCGTGGTCCTCCTCCTCCTCGTCCTCCTCCTTTTCCTCCTCCTCCTCCTCCTCCTCCTCCTCCTCCCCCTCCTCTTCCATTCATTTTCCTTATAGATAACTCACCCCTGTCGCACCCCGAGGAGTGTCGGTAGGGCGGGCAAGGCATTTCGCCGGAGACTTCTCCACCACTTATGATCTTGAAACTGAGAAGTTGCAACAGTTTGACGGATGGTGGGCGGGGAACTCTCAACATGTGGCTCTCCTTAGCGCAGCACGCGTTCAATAAAAACTGCAACGACTTCACGGATGGAGAACGGGCCGTTTTCAAAATATGGTTCTCGCCTTAGCTCTGCGCACATTCGTCCGAGAAGCTGACAGCAGTTTCACAGATGGAGGGCGGGCCGTTTTCAAAATGTGGCTCTCGCCTACGCACCGCGCACACTCGCCAAAAACAACTGCAAGAGTTTCAAAATGTGGCCCTCGCTCTTGCGACACGCGCAGTCGTCTTAAGAGTATAGGCAAGGTTCAAGGTTTCGTATGGCTGACGTCCCAGAAATGGTCTTTCGATAAAAGGCTGCCAGAGCGCAACAGTTTCGCCCCAGGACTGGTGTTATGGCACGATTCAGGATCGCCTGGACGCTATAGTCACGTTGATTCGCTGCGTCGGGGTCCCAGGATCGGTGTTCTTGCGCGGTTATGTTTTTTCGGACGGTTGCCTTCAAACGGGGCACTTCCCTCAGTGACAATGAATCCTTATATGGGCCTATGAAATAGGAACTTGAAATGAGGAGTTGCTGCAACATCTTTGATGAGCCTTTGGTTTGCACTGGTCTTCCTCCTCCTCCTGCTGCTCGCTGGCGGGCTCAACCCCTCCAGGAAACACGCCCCAGCGACCTACGGCTCCCCTTCCTTCCTCCTCCTCCAACTCCTCATCCTCCACCCTCCTCATGGGCCCCGTCGTCATCATCATCATCATCATCATCATCATCATCATCATCATCATCATCATCATCAGCATCATCATCATCATCAGCATCATCATCATAATCATCATCATCAGCATCAGCATCAGCATCAACATCATCAACATCATCATCATCATCATCATCATCATCATCATCATCATCATCATCGTAGTCATCAGCATCATCATCAGCATCAGCATCAGCATCATCAGTATGATCATCATCATCATCATCATCATCATCATCATCATGATCAGCGTCATCATCATCATCATCATCATCATCAGCATCATCATCGTCATCATCATCATCACCAGCATACCCGTCATCATCATCAGCATCATCATCATCAGCATCATGATAATCAGCAACAAATCATCATCATCATCATCATCATCATCATCATCAGCATCATACTCAGCATCATCAGCATCGTATTCAGCATCATATCGCCATCATCATCATCATCATCATCAGCATCATCATCATCAGCATGATCACCATCATCAGCATCATCATCAGCATCGTGATCATCATCACCATCATACCCGTCATCATCATCATCATCATCATCAGCATCATCATCATCAGCATCCTTATCATCATCAGCAGCATCATCATCATCATCAGCATCGTAATCATCATCATAATCAGCATCATCAGCATCATCAGCATCATCATCAGCATCATCAGTATGATCATCATTATCATCATCATCATCGTCATCATCATCACCATCATACCCGTCATCATCATCAGCAGCAGCAGCATCATGATCATCATGATCATGATCATCATCAGCATCATCATCATCAGCATCATCATCATCATCATCATCATCATCATCGGCATCGTGTTCATCCTCCTCACCCTCCCCATCATCACAATAAACAGTCGTAATCGTCGCAATTGGGTTTCGGTTCGGCTCCAGGCCCCCGCGATCTCGTACGTGCTCCTATGGTGTTCGTCGCGTCCTCCTCGCACCTCCGTTATCATCTGTCCGACCCTGTCTTTCGCCACACGATTCCCCACTCCACTCCGCTTATCCGTCCTCCTCGGCACTCCCCTGCAGCCCTCACAAGTTCATTGCACTTCTTCGCCCTTCTCCCCACTCCTCTCCGCTCCTCCTCGCTTTTCACTACCCCCTAGCACTGGTTTCGGACTGAAGTGTGAAGGAGCACAGGATCGCGCAGGAGCTGAGGAAGGTGCGGAAGGATGCTAAAGCTGGGCACCCCATGTGAACAACCAAACGAACAAACGTAGTTCCCCAAGGCCTAAGTAGGCGGACATTTTGGAGCAACCTCAGGACTGCTGACGAGGGCAAAGCATGTGTACCACGTACGCGGGGAGGAAGCCACGATGGAGATTGAGAACTGGTATCCCAGGAGGGGGGGGAAATTGAAAAACCCAAACGAAACCCGCCATCGGCATCACAATCGCATCCATCGTCATCGTCGTTACCAACATCATCACCATCATCACCATCATCCGTACCACCACGATAGTCAGCATCACCGGCATCATTATGGACATCTTCATCATCGACATCAACACCACCACAAAACATACCACTCTTCTACGCCTCCTCATCATATGCATCGTCCTACTTTTTCCCCCTGCCAACAATATGATCCCCTACATACCTCCTCCCCCTCCTCCCCCATTCCTCCTCCCCCTCCCCTTTCTCACTCTACCCAACCTCCTCCTCCTCCTCCTCCTCCTCCTCCTCCTCCTCCTCCTCCTCCTCCTCCTCCTCCTGCTCCTCGTCCTCCTCCTCCTCCTCCTCCTCCGCCTCCTCCTCCATCGCCATCCTCATCCGCTTCCTGCTGCCCCTACGAAGGTGGAACTTCAAGCACACTCAGCGGAAGGAACTCCAGTCGCAACGTCAGCTCGCCTTTGGGGGCATCTTGCAACTTCTGCTGGATCTCCAAGAAGCCAGGATGAGCTCCCTCCCGAATGACCTTGCAAGGGGGGGAAGGAAGATGAGGAGATGGAGAATGGCGACGATGAAGAGCAGCAGGAAGGACGACAGGAGGGAGGGGAGGAGGGAAGAGCGACGAGGGAGGAGGAAGATGGCGGAGCAGGGAGAAAGGACGGAACAAGACAAGAAGGTGGAGCAGGGGAGGGAGGAGGAGCCAGGAGGGTAACAAAATTGAGGAGGGGCGCGAAGGAGAGGCAACAGGGAGGAGCCACCCTCCTCCACCTCGCCCCCTGCAAGTCCGGTTGCTCTTCCTTTTCCCATGGATTCATCATTCCTTTCCCATCCTGCTCTTCCTCTTTCTCCTCCTCCTCCTCCTCCTCATCCTCATCCTCCTCCTCATCATCCACCTCCTCCTCCTTCTTTCTTCTCGTTGTTTTGTTTCTCTCTCTCTCTCTCTCTCGCTCTCTCTTTCTCTCTCTTTCTCTCTATTATCTCCCTCTTCTCTCTCTCTCTCTCTTCCTCTCGTAGTCTCGGTCCAAGACACAGGGGGTGCCTGCGAGCTATGACGTAGCCTTCCCAAAGCGAAACGGTTCCCGCCCCCCCAGGGGCGCAACCGATACGTCGAACACACCCATCCGCCGGCGCGTGCCATGGCCTCCGGGCGCCCGCACCGCCGCGCGACCTCAGCACCTCGACGCACAGCCCCTGGCTCCGAGAGCAAGCTCGCGGCGAGGCGAGGCTCTCCGCCAAGGCGGAGACCAGTACCTGTTCATCAAATACCTCGTCTACAGCATCTTCAAGCTCTACACACCGGCACGCCCTCCGGACGTTTGTCCTGCCGTAGCTCAGGGCGAACTGCCTGATGAACTACGTCCGGTCGGGCCGACAAGTCCCCCGGACGACAAGCACTGCAAGACCGACAGGTTCATCATGGAAAGCACCTTCGTCGTGACGATGCTCTTCGGGTTGTACCTGTTGGCCTGCAAGAGCTTCCGGGGGTACAAACTGGACGCCACGCCGCTGAGGCTGGTCTGTGGGCACACTCTGGCGTACCCCACGTACCTGGTCCTGATGGCCCTGGGCGCTCCTGATGTACCTCCTGACGAGCCTCCTGAAGCTCTTCTCATCCTACTGATCATCTTCCTGATGCTCTTCTCTACCCACAGGCACTTGTGCAGGGGCCCCGCCCCTCGCCGCCGAGCCCCCGCTGGAGCTCAGCTCCCAGCGTGGCTTCCCGCCCGCTCGCCGCCCCCCTCCTCCACGCGTCTCCGCCGAGGACGGAGGGGAGGACGCTGACGGCGACGACGAGGCCCCTTCGCCGCGGGGACGGAAACCCCTCGCAACAGCGCTTGGCGCTCCCAGGGGCACGGCAGGGGCGGCTCAGTCCTCTCCCGCCCCCCTCCGACGCAACCGCCGCACACTCCAGCGAAACCTCTTCAGCGTGGCCCCGATGAGCGGGTCACTGCCCTCTGGCGTCCCGAGAAGCAGGCCACCGCCAGCAAGTTGGCTGATGCCCCGAGGCTCTCCGAGAAGCGGAGCACTGCCTCCTCCAGTGCTGCCATGCCGGGGCGCCCCGAAGAGCGGGCCACCGCCCCCCGACGCCCCAGAGGGCGGGCCGCCGCCACACGCCAACCAGGGCGGCGCAGAAGTCACCGAGCCCGAAAGGGAGAATGCCGAGGACCCGAAAGGACTGGGAAGCGGAATGCCTCCCGCTCGAGTGGACCCCCCATACAGTGAGAAAGAGCTGAACTCCCCAAGCGGGGACCAATCATTGCGATACTCGCCATCCGCCTTGATGCCCAACGGCCCGGTTAGCCCGTGGCCCCCTGCCATAAAAGCGGAAGACAGGGGGCCCTCATAAGGGGGGAACGCCATCGATCGCCAAGAGACGAGCACGCTGCCGCACAAACTCATCATATGCCCCTCCAGGGACCAACTCGCCAAGCTGCTGCCGAGTAACATCCACATCTTGCTGATCGGGTGACCAAGCCCGAGGACTGCCTTGAACCTCGACTTCCTGGATGGGAGCGATCGCAGCGTTAGCGAAGAAACTCGGAGGAGAGCCTGCTACTTGTCTGGCCGCCTGAGCGGCTTGCTCGCCTCGGCGAAGCCCAACTCCGCGACATTAACTTCCATGCGCTTGTCCGCATCGACCGAGGGAGCTGGAACTGACCGGGTTCCCTTGGTGCTCTCCTCCACCAGCTGTGCCCGCAAGCTGATGAGCTCCGTGGCGGCAACCTGCTGATACTGCTGCTGCTGCTGGCGTTGTTAACCTCTCGATCTGAAACTGGAACTCAACCTGTTGCTGCTGCTGCCGTTGGAACGAATTGCTTCCTAGTTGGAGTTTGGTCTCGGCCTGGTGGATACGGTTAGTATAATAGGACTGCGAGTGTGTACGGGTTTGTTATGACTACCCTGCTGGCGGACCCCCGAACGCTGTGCCACAAGGCCGGTACGTAGCTCAGTCCACGATGGACCCACAAAGGCCTGGACAGCTTGGAGTTCTTTTCCATCCATCTCCTGGAGCCGAGAATTGTCTGCTCCGTCGCCGTCGTCACCCGTGGGACCCACCTGCATGTCACCCTGCTGTTTCCTGCCCTTCTCCTCGGACGTCGCTTGCGCCTGGGATTCCAGCTTCGCGAAGCTGAGCCAACTCCTGAAAAATTCGGGCATCATCCATCTTCCATGGGGCCCCACGACGCGTGGTGGAGCGCGAGGGCGAAGCCGGCAGCACGTTGGAACCAAAGCAGCTGCCTTTGTGAAGCCTACAAAGAGCACGGTGTACCCCACTGCCTGAATCAGTCCAAACTTGGCCAGAGCTCCCACGCCTGCAACTCTTGCAGGACCAATGGCGCTTGATCTGAGGCCAACCAGGCAAACACAGGAGGAGGAACCATCTAGCCCTCTGAGCTGTGGGCGCGTGTAAAGGTCAGAGTGAAGGGGCCGAACGGTCATTCACTGTCCCTGGGTGCGCGGTTGAAGTGGGATTCCTCGATGCGGATTATTGTTATGTGTTGTATATGCTGTTGTTGTGGTTGTGGTTATTGCTGTTGTTGATGTTGGTGTTGGCCTTGTTGATGTTGTTGGTATTACTAAAATACTGATGCGATTGGTGTGGGCGTTGTTAATGTTGTTGTTGTCGTTCTTGCTGTTGTTGCTGTTGGTGTTGTTGTCAGGCGGTCCCAGCATCGAATCGATAAGCCGGATCGGGTCGACCGAGGCATCGAATCGGCAGGAATCGGCAGAAATCGGCTGCCAAGTCGAAATCGGCAGGAGTCGGCAGGGCCGAGTCAGATCGAGTCGGAAACCGGATCCCGTCAAGCCGGATCGAAATCGAAATCGGAAGGCTGGGAGGGAAGACGTCGTCGCACGTTATCGCACGTCGTCGCGAACGTCGTCGCATGCATTTTCGTCGCTCTCCGTCGCACGTCATCGTAAACGTCGCACGCGCGTCGTTGCAAAGGGCCCCAAGGGACCCCCAGCGGACCGTGGCATGGACCCCCCCGTCTGTGGGACAGACCCCCACGTCTGTGGGACAGACCGCCCCCCGTCTGTGGGACAGACCCCCCCGTCTGTGGGGCAGACCCCCCCGTCTGTGGACCGACCCCCACGTCTGTGGACAGACCCCCCCGTCTGTGGACAGACCCCCCCCGTCTGTGGACAGACCCCTGCGTCTGTGGACAGACCCCTACGTCTGTGGACAGACCCCTACGTCTGTGACAGACCCCTACGTCTGTGGGACAGAGCCCCCCCCCGTCTGTGGGGCAGACCCCCCCCCCGTCTGTGACAGACCCCTACGTCTGTGACAGACCCCCACGTCTGTGACAGACCGCCCCCCCCCGTCTGTGGGACAGACCCCCCCCGTCTGTGACAGACCCCTACGTCTGTGACAGACCCCCCCGTGGGGCAGACCCCCCCCCGTCTGTGGGACAGACCCCCCCCCCCGTCTGTGGGGCAGACCCCCCCCCGTCTGTGGGGCGCAGACCCCCCCCCTCGTCTGTGGGACAGACCCCCCGAGGACCCAGGACTCCCCCCCCCCCCGGTCTGTGGGACGGACCCCCCGGACCGTGGGACGGACCCCCTGGACCGCGGGACGGACCGTTCGGGCAAACATTTCGAGGAGGACGCAGCCGTGGCCACGAGGAAAGCGCCCGTCCGTGGCCCCAGGGCGCTCCAGGACGCACGTGAGCACCTGGCTGCCCCTCCTCCTCCTCCTCCTCCTCCTCCTCCTCCCCCTCCTCCCCCTCCTCCTCCTCCGCCTTTTCTAAACCATCCAAGAGCGGGAGCGAAGCCGGATCGGCAGGAAATCGGCAGAAGTCGGCAGACGCGTCGAATCGGCAGGAGTCGGATCGGGCGACCTCGAAATCGGAATCGCGAATCGGAATGTTCGCATCGAGTCGGATCGAGTCGGAACCCTGGAAAATCGTTTCGAATCGGCCCGGAGGAGTCGGAAAGCGCCCTGTGTTGTTGCTGTTGTTGCTGTTGCTGTTGGTGTGGTTGATGTTGATGTTGGTGTTCTGGTTGGTGCTATTGCTGTTGTCAATGTTGCTGGTGTAATTGCTGTTGTTGTTGTTGTTGTTGATGTTGTTGTTGGTCTTGTTGTTGTTTGTTGTTTGGCATCGTCTCTCCCGCGACGCGGCCCGCGACCCACCCGCGACCCACCCCGCGAATCCAACCCGCGACACACCCGCGACCCCCCGCGCCCCCCCCCCCCCGCGACCCGCCCGCGACGCGCCCGCGACCCACCCCGGGACCCACCCGCGAGCCGCCCGTGACCCACCCGCGAACCCACCCGCGACCCACCCGCGACCCACCCGCGACCCACCCGTGACCCACCCGCAACCCACCCGCGACCCACCCGCGACCTACCCCGCGACCCACCCACATTGCTTTGACGAAAAATCGGCTCCTAGGCGCCTGCAGGAGCTTCGCAGACTGCAGACGTCCCCGCCGCCCCGTCACTCTTATCCGCAAATGCGGGGTGCTACGTATATCATCAATCAGTTTGGCGCGTGAGCACGAGCCGTTCTAAACCCGCGT